ATGCAGAAATTGGTCCATGATGCAAACATTTGAGAAAATATAAACTTCACATGCATACACGATCACAAAAGTTCTGAATATAAATACATATCTTCGAATCCTTACCATGGTTGACCGGGTGTTCAGGCGTTAGTGTCAACACCACGTACGATAAGAAGTTGATGATAAAAATATTGCCCCCGTCTGTACGGGGGTCATAATGGGGGTCTAACTTGAAGAGAGAGTGCTGGCGATAATTGACTGTAATATCTCTTGGCGCACCTACATGGAAGTGCTCAGACTTCATGATGCGGTCTTGGATAGTTCGCAGAGGTGTGGGAACCTAAAGGTCAGGGGTAGCGGAGGGCGATACGGGGTAGGTAGATAGGTATAAGAATATAGTCAATGTATAGCATAGTATACACTAAGCTTCCTAGATATAGGTACCAAGTGTTGAGCATGCACAACAAGCAATTCGTTTAATGCACCTAACTAATTTTATCACTAAATCATTTTAACACTAAATTAATTTTAACACTAAATTAATTTTAGTACACTTGAGCAATTTCAGTGCACTTAGCGGATTTTAATACGCTTATTCACTTTAATATACTGAACGCAATTTGACGCACTCCACTAGTTGCTCACAGGATGTATATGCATGCACAATACTTTAGCCGTCGTATCTTGCGATATGGTTTAATCGTGACACCTGTTCGATCGAAGTGACTGGTATAACCAAGCTAAACTGGGTGTAAGTAGGTAGATAAACCATACATCAACGAGGATGATATATATATATATATATATAATATGTACATATACGTATATATAGTGTTATCAATAGCTAAGCGGAAGTCGGTCGATCAACTTGCTTAGCTGTATATATCGCAATATATTCATGTATATATATATACATCCACAAGCTACTATATAGTGTAAATTGACACACACATATATATATATAAATATATACATATATACACATATAATCAGGCTCACACCTTGAACGTATCGAAGTCGTCTCCATAGCCCCACGGACACGCAACATTGGTACCTTCCGGTCGACCGGTCATACGCACACTATTGACCTTGTTCATCTCTTTCCGCAGCACTTTATCTTTACTATTGCCACGCAGCACCCGTATCTGAGTATTCGTGTGCACAAGAGTTGTTCAATGTAAGTTTTGGCTGAGGTGTGTGCGTGTGCCTATACATGGTCCTGGTCGTGAACGAGAGTATCCGAATGAACGTTCGCGAAATTAGATGCACGTATGTGTGTGTGCGGACCCGATGATACGTGAGCGCTTGAGGCCGAAGTGCGTGTATGTGTGTGCAAATGAGCTTAGACTGGCGTGAGTAGCGTTAAATTCATCGCCAACTATCCTCCCCTCTCATCGACAACGTAGCACAGTCTTCGACATAATAAATATCATAACCCTAAAACCCAAGGCACGCCGCGCAACTAAAATAGTCCATGAAATCTATTATAGATTTACAGACCTGAAAACTATCTAGAGCATATCATCGTCCCTAATCCGTCTGCAGGCATCCACGTACCAATGCATGTAGGTAGATTAGCATATATAAATGTGTGAAAATGTGATAATATAAATGTGTGATAATGTGATTATATAATGTGTGGTAGTGTGATTATATAATGTGTGAAAATGTGATTATATAAATGTGTGATAATGTGATTATATAATGTGTGGTAGTGTGATTATATAATGTGTGAAAATGTGATTATATAAATGTGTGATAATGTGATAGTTCCAAAAGTACTCGTAGCGGATTCATATTTTGATAAACCACGGAATCCATAAACGCGTTTAACGCAAGAATGGTTTGCAGATTACCACAAGCGATGGCGCGGATGGGACTCTCGTCAGAATTAGCGGTTGGGGTTGGTCTGTGACACGTACACACATCCCAGCGTACATACATACATACATACACGCATGCACATACACGAACTTGCATGTGTGCATGTACACTAGAGTACAACCCTAAACCCTAAACCCTAAGCACACATATCCTCACAGTACGAAGGCAGCACGACTCAGCTAGGATAAAAACATCTGATTGCCTCGGGGCTGTATATGTAACACGCATCGCATTAGCCTCATATGTTTCATTCGTATACAGAAACCTATCCCGAGAATTGCGGCAAGACACAGACATACGACGAAATCACATTCGCAGCATACCTCTCCCACGAGGTACAGGAGTATAACACACAGCACACACGCGTGCAGAAACGTACAGACACATACAAGGCAGAAGCATACAGTCGAATGCAGAAGCATACATACACGTACAAGACAGACACATACAAGGCAGAAGCATACAAAAG